GTGAAATCCTTTTTTTTTTTTTTTTTTTTTTTTTTTTTTTTGAAGCTATACGTTGAAAAATATCAAATGTTAACAACTAGGATTCTTTGCCATTCTCACGTAGTATCATTGTGATGGTCTTAAAAATAAGAAAAAATATATATCTATAAATATATGTAGTGGAACATGACAGCGTTCCCAAGTTAATTATCTCTCTGAAACACTGTATAATTCAGTTTTTGTGCTTTTTAATATTTTTAAATAGTTTACTTGAATATTCATGTAATATATAAAGGTTTTGTGAAACAAATTTTTAGTTAGGAAGGAGCTGATATCAGCTTTTGTCAGCATAAATTGGCACTAGTGTGTCATAATAGTCTTATTTTGAAAAACGTAGTGCATTTTATATTAAAGACTACTAAAGGTTAATTTTTTTCTATTTCTGCTCTCCATATTTTAAACTAAGCGACTAAGTTACCTCTGTTAATAGATTTTCATGGTGTAAAGTCATTAAAAAATCAGCTGTTAATCCAATAGTTCTGGTAGATGGAATATGGTTTTGATTTTTTTAACAATAAATGTTTGTAGAAAGGGCTTATTACATAGCAGTGCAATGACAAAATGCAGTTATCCTGCCTTTTTTGTGATCTTCTAGGAGTAATTTTTTTGGTTTTGGCTTGGGATTAATTCAGTGTCGAAACAGAGAAACCCTGTGCATTTGCTTTGTGTAATTCCATACAAAAAACTTTTGTAAGGTATTTTATATCTATGTTTGAAGCTCAGTGAATGTTAAGTGTTTGATTTATATGTTAAACTTCCAATCGTAATAAATATTTTCTTAGCAAACGTCTAAATCGAAATGCGTATGCAAACAGTGCACATCAATTTCTTGTTCAGAATTTGATAATAAAATTACCAGAACTTTATTCTACAATTTATAGGGGGATATTTCTGCTCATAGAGGAAGTCTTCAGATTCCATAACGTTGGAAGTTTGGAATGATGAATGTTATGCAAAAATTCTAGAGAGAACCCATCTTTTCCATTACCTTATTTCTGCAGGCCGTTTCAGAACATGCAGGTGATTTCCATCGCAATCTGATCGTGATTGACTCATTTGCTCTAGGTCTTGTTGTGTCAGGCACAGAGGAGGTAAGAAGTGCTTTCCCTAGAGGATGAAGTGCCTAGTGTAGTGTGTGCATGGAAGGAGAGTCCCCAGCTCTGAGGTCCAAGCAGCCACGTGACTTTGTCTGAGGGCAGAAGTGTTGGGTGGTAAGAGGCTCTTTTCCCCTGAAGAAGTTTGCAGTCAAATGCCAAAGCCTAACTAGACCTTCTTCATTCAAATGAGTTTGCCTGTCTACATGTAGCTGATGGGGGAAAAAATATATGGGGTTTGGGATTGGAACCAAGAGGAGACATCAATGCCAGAAATGGAGAACGGAGATTGAATAACAGCTTTCTTTTTTTTCCTCCAGAATTGTGATCAGGCATCAATGTGTCCATAGGAGGATAAAAATGGATAAAATCGTGGTAAGAAGTAAAACTCTTTCTTTGGGTTTGAGGGATTTTATTGTTGTTTTGCTTTTGTGTTGCACTTACTGAGTAATTCTAACGTATTCAACGCTTGGGTTGCCAGAGGTGCCTGAAATCCTGTTCACCCTCACTTTGTTATCTCTGCTGTAAAATAGTGATGCCAGTAGCTTTGCATAGGCTCAAGAACGTGGCTTCTGAGCATCCTAGCTTTTTTGACAGAGCTGGCAAAAAGTTTTAACTGGATGGCTCTGTCCAGTAGCTTTAAGCAAGAGCGTTCTAAGGTGCGTATTGACTTAACGAAACAGAAGAGTCCTTCTGTCTATTTAAAAAGCTTTATTTTTACAAACTGTGGCAGTATGGCCTCTCAGACATATTAGTACATTAGTGATGTTTTCACAGGACGTGCTAATGCACCCATCTTTTGGGGATTCTTACCATGATTCTCAAACACCTGTACATGTCAAATCATTATGAAGTACTTTCTTCCTATTGTGGTAGACAGGTAATGGTAAATCTTAAACTGTCTGAAGCCTGGCTTGAGCAAAACCAGTGTCATCTTTCTTTTGAATGATTTAATCATTTATCAGCTGGTGTACTTGAAATACAGAATGAGAGCTGAGAATGATGATGGTGGAAGATGAGGATCCAGACGTTAAGTGTGAGGAGGGAGTTAGAAGACCTGTATGTGGCACCTGCACCTTACCTGACTTGTTTGTGATATGACTTCTGTTATCAGAATACAGCTCTGTGAAAGGAATTAAGAGGCACTTGAAAGTTTAAGAGTGAAAATGCATCCTTTGATCTTTGCATAGTTTCTGAAGCTTGTGTTTGTTTGCCTATGTCTAAAGCTACTACTATTCTGGTTGCGCTGAGCTGCATGATTGTTCTGATGTCAAAACATGTCTGAAATCCCCAACTAGGTATCTGTATTCCTCAATTATAGGAAAAGCACCTGATGGATGTGCTTTGAGAATATGTATTGTGCTGAGTACTGGCTGAAGTTTTAAAAAAAATATCTGTCCACAAAAAAACACACAAGGAGTTGCAGGTTGTTGCTAATCATCAGTGGTAGTGTTTGCTTATGATGCTGTCTATATGGTATACTGATATATGAGGGTTGCCTTTAGGAATAGTATGGATATGATGAAGTCATACTCCACAGTGTAATCCAAATTCCTCTTACTTTCTAGAGGACAAACTTGTTGAGACCCATGAAGTTAGCAGCTGCTCTTAAAAAGCTGAGGTCTCGTATTTTGAACCTCGGCTTCCTCATTTGCCGAACTGACATTTTGAGATCTTGTGAGGTCTGTGATGCTGAGCCTGTTTTCATTTCTTAATTTCTCTGCTGTTTCTACTCAGTGGATGAAGACAACTTAAACACAATAACAGTAGCCCCAGATTTCAGTTACTCACAGATACAACTAGCTTGTAAAAAAATTCCTCTTAGCACATTTAATTGAACAGTACTCAGCTGCACTCTGCAACCAACTTACGTGCCTATATTATGGTCCTGTTTATATGGCACACAGAACCTTAAGGCCTTCAAATATTTGCATCTGGTAGTTAAATCAAAACCGATTCAGGAGATGTACCCAAACTGTAGTTACATTTTAATTTCGGAGTGCTGGGACCAGCGTGTACAGACCAAGTAGAAGAAACTGGACACAGAAAGAAAACAAAAATACACTGTATTACAAAGGCAGGAAGAAGTATGTCAGGATTTTAAAATATCTGTGCAGGTGTTTACTGTAGCTGTCTTAGATGCAACCCCATTCCACAAATCAAGTGGACTTCCATTCCTCCTGCTTCAGGCCCCCTACCCCCACCCTCTACACACACTTCTCAGAAAGGAAGGCTGCATAAGCCTTGAAAACATCCAAATTCTTTGGCCCTGGAATACATGCTTCTGCTCTGGAATTACTGCAAATCAGTGCTACTTCATTGATTTCATTAGATTTTGCTGGCTTACACTGAATATGCCCCCTGCTGTTAAATAGTCAAGGAAAATATCTTTTCTGAAGAAATGACTATATCTGAAAAGAAACTGAGCTTGTTGATTGTCATACTTGGAAAATAAGAGCTACTGGGGCTGTGTTATTCTTTTCTCTAAAACTGTCCCGCTAAAAAGAATAAGGCACTAGATCAAAGATGATGCCATCTAGCTGCTCTGTAAAGCGTAGGAGATCAGTTACTTTTCAGTCAAATTATAAATTTTCAGATCCACGATTACAGAGTAGGATTGGGTTGGCAGGCAGCTGCTGGCCCCAGAATCTTTTGTGGTTAGCTCGTGCTGTGTTTTCTCATGGTGTATCTGTGACTGCTTGGAAGAGAAAGATGAGTCAGCAACTGAATGACTTTAAAGTGGTCGCTGACATTGTTTTCCACAGAAGGGATGTGACCTAGGTCAAATATCTTATTTCAGCTGGTTGAACTGCTCAATAACCTGAAGAATGCTGGCTCTTAAAAGTCTACAGTTCAAAGAAGTTTTCCCCACTCTGGTAGTCACTCTCAGTGTGACTTCTGAATGCATGCAGATCAGGAAAATCTGCTGGTTGTCTGCTCCATTATGAAAGCTTTCCTCTGTCCAACTTCTAAGTTAGTAGAACGCAAATAACTATTGTCCTGTGTATCACTGAAATGGTTTGCATATAACAATTCACATCTGGTATGTGTGATGATTTTTTTTCCCTACATAATGAAATTTAGTAATGCTCATCTGTGTGAAGGTCAGACTTTTCAGGAAGGATGAGAAAGCATGGAAGTAGATGAGTGTTTTAAAACTCTTTGTAAAAGTAGTTTTAAAAAGAGGGTCCTCGTCTGGTTGTGCATTCAGTATTCCCACACCAAGGGCATATTCCTTAACACTGAGTAGGTGGTCTTTGCCAAAGGCTGTTAGGCTTAACTCTTAGAAAGCTGGAGTACTTATTTTGAGAAAGTCTCCAGTAAGCAAGAGGAGAGCAAGACTGATGTGGTGTCTGTTACTGACCCGGTTGTTTTTGCCCCAACCACGTTTCTGTGTGAAGGCCTGCTATAGTTTTGCTTAAGAAAATGCCAGACAGTACTGATTTCTACCTGTTCAGATGCAGAATATTCCTTGATAAGGAAATCAATGTTGACCTCGTATAAAATGTTAATAAGATTTGGCAATGTCCACAAAAAACAAGGGTGCTCTTGTAATTTGATTTGTTTTCTCTCATTTGATGTAGTATGAATGTATGTGTAAAATACTTGAAAGGGACCTGGAAGGATCACTGAGACCAAGAAAATTCAAATGTTAAAAGATAAATGTCTGTAGGTAGCATTCCTCAAGTGTTCCTGCAGCAAGGGATCTGACTGGGCTTAAAGATGAGTTGTGAGTTGGAGAAAGTTGCTGCAGTTGTCTTGGCATGCAGGGTGGACACGTCAGCAGTGTGCGAGTGGGGAATGAGTGGGAGGAGAACAGCCCTAGAATTAAAGAGATCAGAGAAACGTTGTCTGGTTTAACCACAATTGTTTCTTTTTTTGTCACTAAGCTATCTCTTCCTAAATGATTCTAGTGCTCCCACCATAGGGCACTGTGATGGTTCCTTACTGGATATGACCGCGTGTGTGGATGTCTGGGATGTAAGGGCCACAACAGAGCTCGATTACCGTCATATCTGTGAAGCTTCCTCTTAGGGAGGCCCCTGTCTTAATCCCCCAAGTGCTGGCACAGGGTAGATTGAATTGGTGTTGGAGCTGCATGGCGTCCTCGGATGGCTAAACCGAGCCATGGAAACTCTCTGCTTGCAGAGCAGTTGCATCTCTTCAGAGGTTGTGCTGGTGAAAAAAGATCAGTCGGCAGGTTGTGTCTGTCCTCACACCGTCGCGTATTTATGTTGGCAAACCTTTGCTGCGTACACTCAGCCAAAGCTCATTACTGATGAACAGGATGATGTGGGATTTTTTCCATCTGCTGTCTTCCTAGTTTTGCTGATCTATGTAACAAGTTTGCTTTTAACTGTGAAGCATTGCACTCTCGCAGCTGATAGCAATAGCTGCTTACACAACTGTGATTTGATTACGCTACAGCCCTGTTTTTGAGTAATAGCTCAATCCACCAGAACAGAAGGTATCTTCTGCCAAGTACAAGAATTAATTGAGAGAAAAATTAGTGAACTTGTACTGAGCTTTTTGAACTTTAACATCAGATAACACTGGCAGAAAGAAGCTGGATCTCTTCCTAGTTGTGTGCAAGTCCGAAGGTCAGTCTGCGTTTTATCTGCGTGTTTTTTTGTTTTAAAATCTAACCCAACATTTTCAAGGAAATAGTTGAAAATAGAAGTAATTTTTGCAAGGGCAAATACTGGATTCTAGTTCACTTCTGGTTGATGTTTCTTCATAAAAGTTGTGAGTGTGTCAGCCCTTGTAAAATAAGTAACTAGCATGTGTTCTTGCAACTAAAAGCTCGATTGATGAATTTACAATAGCTTATAGCTGGCTTGTGCTATCTTTTGTGCTGTAACACAGTGTAATGTTTTGGGAACAGATAATGTATGCAGAAATACTGATTCCAAATATAAAAGAGGTCCTTAAGGCACAAATGTGATTTCTTGCTTCTAACTTCAAATGACTTTTTTGTAATCAGAGCTAGTATGTCTAACGGCTGATTGAGGATTAGCCTGATGTTGTGCCCAGCCACGTGCTTTTCTCTTAACTTCCTAGGCCTTTCTGTCGTAAAGGATGAAGTGCTTTGGATTCATTGGAATGAAAAAAGCAAACAAAAATATTAAGCACTTTACAGAACATAGCATGATTTTAAAAGTTAAATCTATGTGGAGGTGTTTTGCTGAATCAATTTTTTTCTGTTTGGACCATCGCAGAAATAGTGTTGCCTGTGAGGCATCTGGTTCCAGGGAATAATAATTAAAAAAAAAAAAAAGCAACATGCATGCATAATGCATTGTGCATTAGCCAGTATGACTGCGATTGCTGTAATCCTTTGGTGTACGCTCTAAAGCTGCACTGATTCCCTTGGCAGTTTTGGGCACTTGAGAGTTCTGCTCAGTCAGAGACTTAAATGATGTATTGCACCACACTTAAGCAGATGACCCCAGAGGCTTCTCCAACTGGGTGTTTTCAGATTCAAAGACTTTCCCAGCTGGATCTGCTACATGAACATTCAGAGTAGAGTGTCTCCACAGAAAGCGAGTTTGGAGCAAAGGCCATCAGTGCTGTAATCAAGCAGCTCAGCACATGGATTGAGACTTGTTCCAAGAAATGTTAGCAATGCTGATGATAAATTTGATCTGTTTGTACACGTCCCATGTTAGTCATGGGAAGTCTTCTCCATCACTAGTGCTGGAAAACTGCTCAAGTGTGCGATGAGAAGTTTTGTACGTGCAGCATTAGAAATGAAGAGTGCAAATATCTTCTTAGGGAAGAAAGCAATGAATTGTTAGACTTAAGCTAGACACTGGCTCGGGCGTTTGTAGTATAGGTGTACAGCTTTGGTTCTGGTGGCAGGAAGAATGCCTGTGGGGCCTGAGAGAACTGCTTACTGTGGAGAAGTTGAATATTGTGTATGCTGATAACCTGAACGTGTAGAGGTGGGAGAGAAAGGCCTTTTTCTAGAGCAGATGTCGGAAGCTCCTTAATTTCAGGTTAACCAAAATCTGGCTTATTTCATAACAGCTTTTATCTTCTGTGTTTTAGGAGCAGTTTATGGCTTGTCCCTTTAGATGTGTCCACTGGTCTGGATATATGTGCTTTTCTTTAGTCCTTTTTTTGTACTTTTTAGAAAGGAGTTCATTGGGTTTGGGAAAAATTGAGACAAATGATTCGTCACCTTAAAAGTGAATTTACTGGGGGGCAGAGAGGGAAGAAGACCTAACAACAAAGAACTGGAATTGTGTCAGCAAGGGGGAGCAGTAATTCTGGGTTTGGTACTGGTAGCGGTGCTTGGTATCAGCTGCAGGAAGGGCTGGAAATAATCTGACAAAATTGCTGTACCTGGAAATTGAATGGCTGCACACCTTACTAACTAAAAGATTTATGCTTACGTAATGCACTGAAGGTATGAAAATTATTACAGTTGTGTAGCCTGTATCTGCAAAAAAGGGCTGCCTTTCAAATGATGCTATAAAATGGTATTAGGGCCTGTAGGATTGCACCACTTAGTTCTGAAAAGGAAGTGACATGGATGAATACTATGCCTTGAGTATTTGTATGGCTCTAGTTGTCTTACTTCAGTATTTCTGTTCTAATGTGAGTGCTTTTCTGGAAGAACTGAGTCATGCTATTGCAGAATAAATTGTAATAATTACAGGAAACGGGGCTATAGAGTAAAGCTGTGATCCTTGCAGAGTTCTGCTTAGGTATTATTTTGTCTGCTTGTTTATACTGTGCGTAATGCATGTAATGCTAGGAAAAAAAAATCTTATTTACAAAATGATTGTATTTAGAGACATAGGAAATACAAAGAGTAATGTTACAGTAAGAGAGCTTTAGTCACATGGTTGAAGTGGGCTTTGTGTTTTCCATTTTTCAGTCCCATGTCTGTAATATTCCCGAGTTTGGAAATAGTTGGGATGCAGGTACTGTTATGGAGAATAGTATCCTGTGTGTTTTCTATTTTTGACAAAAGAAATGAGCCAGTAATTTACTAGACTGATAAAATGCACAGTAATGGTTAGTATCAGTGACAGTTGTGATTTCTCAGCTGGTGTAAAGATCTTCAAATTTATGCTGCTTTTTGAGTTTCCGCAGGTGGAATACCTACCTACGTCCTGCTCTTCCAGTATGTCCATTTCATCACAAAATGAATCTCTGCATGGCTGCCTTGCCTGGAGATGTTCATCAGGAACCCAGCAATGCCTTGTGTCTCTTTAACATAAATTTGCTAGCGCAGACATTGCATGCTAATTCCACATACATGGGTTTTCTCATCCCTGAGGGAGCAGACTGTCTTATCAGAAACAGAATGACCTTCCTGTCAGCATAACAGATTTATTAACTTCCAAGAATCTTGTTTTGGAACCTCCTGCTGTGTTGTGAAGTTCCAGATGGCAAAGCACAAGAGCATGGCAGCAATTTTATTTGCCTGCGAGCTCCCCCCACTTCCATTAACTGACTTGTCTTTGTTATAATTTCTGAGTGTCCAGGTACAGAAGCTTTGCAGCAAAAGGCTTCCTTGTTACAGCTAAATAACGGCGATCACTGCCTTATTTACTTCTCAGTCTTGCCTTTTTTCCTCCAACTGCTCAACAAAATAGGCAGCTTAGGTTGGTTAGAGATACGAAGGATGTTGCAACTGGATTTAGCGCTGCAGCCAAAATGGGTTATAAAAACATTGTGCAGAGTTCTGCTGCTAAAAATAAGCATGCATTGAGTTGGGGAAAATGCAGGGAGGCTGTATAAGGTCAATCAACACAACCTTACACGGCTCTCAAAACAGGGAAAATCTACCCCCAGTGCCCACGTGTTTTTCAAGAGTGGAGTCCTGCTGTGTATCGGGTGAAGCTTGTCTGATTTTTCCCTCCTCGGCCCATTTGGTTTTCTGCTGTGCTTCCCTGTGTTCCCCAGGCTGTTTCTGGCAGATTCTTAGCTTGTTTTGTTTTTTTTTTTTTCTTGCATCGTTCTTATCAGGCAGTGTACCAAAATGTCATAAATAGTACTGTCTCACACGTATTTAGCAGGTCATTTATTTATACGTATTTAACAGCAGTTCAATCTAGACATACATTACCAGATAAGCTTTTATTTTTTTTTTAAAGAACGTTTCTTCCAGAAAATGGAAGTCTAGGAGGGTTTAGTAAGTAGGATAAATCTTACTTCAAAAATCACAGAAAGGGCAAAGTTGTTTGTTCGGTTGTTTTTTTTTTTTTTCTGGAAATTCTCTTCCCTAGTGAATTTATTTTTGCTTCCTATGAAAAAAAATCAGTTACTTTATTTATAGAAGATAAATTATTTTCCAAATGGGGCTCAAGACCTATATCTAGTGAATCAGGATTTTTTCAGGTGCATTTCTATTTCTACATTAAATCTTACAAGTGCTTCTTCAACACAAACAAAAACCCCAACCCTGTACACTGAGATCTTTCCCCAGGCTGTGGCAATAAGGGAGCTGACAATCATTCACTTCAATTAAAGATGGGAGAACACGCAGAGGGGAAAAACATTAAGTAGTTTAGCAGGTCTTAACAAAACTTGTAGCACGTCCTCTGAATTGCGCCCCTGCCATCAGCAACCTAAAGAGCTTTTGCTTCCCATCCTTATGCTTGTTATTCTTCCTTCTTCATTTCACTTGGAAAATAAAATTGGACCACAAGCTTCTGGGAATCAGAGCTGCTATCCTGCTTTGTTCTCTAAAATGGTTTTTATATTCAGAGTTATAAGAAATTGCAATAAAATAAAAAAAATGAACAACTTGCTTGCTTTTGTCATATATTTGTAAGTGGCGGTGATTATCATGTGATGCTTTCTTAAAGCTTCATATTCCAATGGATTTAATGAGCACACAGGAGCCAGATGGCACACCATATTTTTTTTGAAAACATTTTAGAGCGCATGACAGACAACTGATGGTGACAGCAGAACTTGACTGAGGTGTCTGCAAAGCAAATGCGTGACATGTTGCTATTAGAGCAGAATAATTGTTTGTGAAAGGCATCCTCAAATTGAGCAATGATTTGATAAAGTAAACAGGAATGAGTTCTGCTGTGTAAACACTGCACACTGCAGACGTGTTACCTGCTTGTATGTAGAATGCCTTAAATTGTGATCTGAGTGGAAATGGATGATGCAGAGTTGTGTGGTGCAGTGGTAGTCAGTCCTGATTTAGGCAGTTTTGCATGAAAACCTTCAGTCTGTAGGCAATATTATGGGGGGAAAGAAAAAAAAAAAAAAGATTGTGGATGATAAAGATAACCACTTGATTTTCCTGTAAAACAGAGAAAGGGAAATGTTCTTTTTCCTTCTGCCTAGTAGGAAGAGGGAAGTAAAGACAGAAAAGCAATGGACTTTCACTGTTACAGTGAAGGTTGGTTGGAGCTGCAGACACATCATAAGAAGTCTTGTTGCAGAGAGTAAGCTGGGAGGAGAAGCCAGCTATCTGGTTTTGGGAGATAGCAGGGTCTCTGATAAACATCTGGTCATTGCTTATGCACCTTCTCTGGCACAGCGGCTGAACTGAGACAGAGGAACGCTAGCTTGACTTTCCTCAGAATATGCATTATTTCAGCTAAGCAATTATGTGAAAGGTAAA